ATATGAAAAATATCATAAATTTTAATTAAATAAATAAGAGTAAACTAGGATTTAAAAAAAGAAAATAAAACATTTTTATTTACAAAAAATATTCATTTATTCGGAAGCAGTTTTTAATAAAATAGAGTTGAAACTCTTGAAAGTAATAAAATGAAATCTAAGTATGATAAAACTTAAAAAGTAAATTAAATAATAGAAATAAATTAAATAATAGGCCAAAAACTAAACTTAACTCTTCTAAAATAAACTTTTAATTGTGCTCAACTCGAATTTCCTGCAACTCCCCTCTCTCTAAATAATCTTTGTAATTAAAAACGCATAAAAACTTTTCCGGCTCCAGAGCCCCACATTTCCCTCAGCTGCTTCTGCATTCATATTTGATGCCGCTTTGAGCGCAAACTTCAATACAAAACTAAACCACAATCGCACATCTGCTCGGCTCTGCTTGTGGTTGTGCCCGTGCCCGTGCTACATGTCCTGCTCCTGCGCCTTCTCCTGCTGCTGTGCCTGTGCCTGTTACCCATTCTCCAGTCTCTGTTCCCCATGGCCACAGCCAGGTGCCTGGCAATTCACAATTGTTGTTACTTTTTTGCTTTGTGCGCAGACTTAATTAGCTTTGACTGGCTGCTTTAATAAAAATATCCACTGATGTTTTCCGCACCCGCCTCCACCCGCCCCGCCATTTGGTAGACGCGTGCTCCAGCTGGAGGAGGAGAACGTGGAGGCAGAGACATTATCGGAGCGCAGGTGTGCCAATGCAAGAGCAGCGCAACGGCAGCGCTGCAGCCGCCACTCAACTGCTCCCAGCAGCACTGCAGCGCCAGCTGCCCAGAGCCAATGGCTGTCCAATCAAACCCGAGCACAGGCAACGCCAGCGCCAGCGCTAGCGCCGACGTCAGCAGCGACAACGCGACGGCTGGATGGTGGCGAATGCCCACATAATATGAGTAAAAACGGTAAAAGTATTCCAGTAGAAATGCGAGAAAGAGAGTGCGCGTGTGTGTGTTTGTGTCTGACTGGCACACGGATAGTGAACGGATAAACACCGGATAAACTGGATAAACTGGAAAGCAAGCCAATGAGAGCGCTACGGTGCGAGTCGTACAAAAACAACCACCGTTGCGGTTGTCGTGGTCGTCGCTTCGGTCAAAAGGAACTTAATGTGGTGTTCGGCTCAGCCAGAGACAGTCAACATTGCGCAGCCGTTGTGAACGGACGTCTACACCGCGCCGGGAAAAATCAACAAAAAAAAAAAAAGAAAAGAAACCTTAAGTCGAGTCACAGCCTCGACACAGAACTACGAAAAGTGTAGTGTGTATGCGTGTGTGTCTGTGTGTATGAGAATCGAACAGAAACCATTAACATTTCAAACTGTAAAGCTAATTGAACAAAACATGGTCTTGAACAATATGGCCAGTACAATGTGCCTGCCGCCTCAGTCCCAAAATCTGCCACTGCCTCTGCCTATGTCGCTGCCGCAGCCCAGTCCGGTGCCCAGTCCGCCGGCCAGCAAGTCGCGCATCCAGATCGAATGGGATATCAATGATACGATTGTGCCGACGGTCAGTGAATTCGATGACTTCAATGATTGGGCCAACGGCCACTGTCGCCTCATCTATGCCGGGCACAACGAGGACGCCAAGAAGCATGCCAGCGGCTGGGCCATGCGCAACACCAACAATCACAACGTGAACATCCTGAAGAAGAGCTGCCTGGGCGTGCTGCTGTGCAACGCCAAGTGCCGACTGCCCAATGGAGCCAGCGTGCATCTGCGTCCGGCCATCTGCGACAAGGCGCGGCGCAAGCAGCAGGGCAAACAGTGCCCCAATAGGTGAGTGCCAGACAGAGAAACATAGAGGGGGAGCTATATACTAACTGAACTTTCCTTCTTTTTTATCTTCATTCAGAAATTGCAATGGACGCCTCGAGATTCAGCCGTGCCGCGGCCACTGCGGCTATCCGGTCACCCACTTTTGGCGTCGCGCTGGCAATGCCATCTACTTCCAGGCGAAGGGCACACACGATCATGCTCGGCCCGAGGCCAAGGGCTCCACGGAGGCGCGTCGCCTGCTCGCGGGCAACAGACGCGTGCGCAGCCTGGCCGTCATCCTGGCCAGCGATGCGGCACTCAATGATAAGCTGTGCAGCCTGCGCAGCAGCAAGCGTCCAATGAAGACGCCACGCAAGCAGCGTGCCAACAACAACACCGAACTCTTGCCGCAGAACTATCAGCCAGCAGGAGCAGCAGCAGCAACCGCAACAGCAGGAGCAGCAGCAACAACAACAAGCAACCCGACAAGCTTCAATCAAACGCCGAGCAGCAGCAGCAGCTTTGTCACGCCGCAGTGGAGCACAGCGGACGGCTACTATCAGCAGGATGCGGGACTGGGCTATGGCAGCGGCATCTACGGCTACGACATGCTGCACTCGCCACTCTCCACCAACAGCTCCACGGCCAGCTACTACAATGCAGCAGAGTCGCAGCAGCAGCAGCAACAGCAGCAACAACAACATCAGCAGCAGCAACTGTTGCTGCCACAGGGCAACGCCTACGATCAGCTGACGACGACGACGACTCCTGTCGGCTACCAGGCGGGCATGAATCTATACGAGAGCTGCGACGACACCTCCAGCCTGACCAGCAGCTCCGGCTACAGCTCCGAGGACTACAGCTACTTCAATGGCTATGTGCCACAGAGCTTGGATCTGAGCGGCAGCTCCAATGCCAGCCCAGATAATTTCTATACGCCGCACTCGGAGATCTTCAGCGTGTTCGATCCGAACATCAACAGCGGCGGACCATCCACTGTGGAGCTGCTGTACGACGAGGCCACAGCCTATCAGCAGCAAACACTCCAGCAACAGCAGCAGCAGCAGCAATCCTTCTCCTACCAGCAGCAGCAGCAACATCCTACGGCGGATTACTACTACAGCAACACGGGCGTGGACAATGTATGGAATATTCAAATGGATGCAAGTGTCACAACGGCGCCATACCAAACGCCAGCTAGCCTCGAGTCAGGCATTGGCGTCTTCTGTTAATCCCCACCAGATCTCGATAGCAACTCAGTCCCCTCTCGGAAACACTCACTCAAGCGTTGTTCTAGTCTCTAGTCGAACCCACATCTCCAGCGCCCTCAGCCAGTTGTGCCCGCTCCAATGTTTTGTTGTTGCCCCACCTGCTCGCTTGTTGGTTTTTGGTTTTATTTGTATCTTTATGACGTTTAACACTTTTCATGTTTCTAGCTCCTAAGTCCATTGCGTACATTATGTTTACCCAGCTATTCCAAAGTTTTTAGCTTAAGTGCATAAGTCTATTAGTATGTTAGTTATCTAAGCGACAAACACCCACCTATTTATGAATTTTGTAATAAAAACAACAGAAACTGAAAAACAAATATTGAAAATATCTTTCATATGCTTTGATTGGGAAATCTACATTAATTTAAAATGAGAATTGCAACTGGAAATTAGACTGGTTGATCTTGAGCTCGCTCTACGTCTTGGAATTCACATGAAAGAAATAAAGTTCAAATACAAGTCTTACCTATCTATACGATATATAATGTGAAAATCACTTATTTATTGAAATAGATTCAATAGAAATATTTAAAAAATTCTTTGTTTTATCAAAGATAAATTTTCAACGTCATGTATTTCTTCCTGGATTTCTGAAGACAGGTATGAACCTATGATTAGTATGATTAGACTATCGGTCGTACCTAATGACATTTTCCTGCAGAACTCTTATGAAAAGAAATCAAGTAATATTTTTCCTATGTCTGTTTGCTTTTATACCGAATTTTAGCCAGGGATCGATGTAAATTTTAATCTTAGATTTTTCCTTTAAAGACAAAACTATAAATCTTACTTTAATCAATTTTTTCGTGAATAATATTAGACTTCTGGCATAAAAGAAATATTTGGTAACTGACTCTGACCCCGTCCRTCATACAAGTTGTACTTATAAAAAAAAGTTTTTACAACGGTAATATTCTTTTTAAGTGAATAAAAGTAAAAAAAAAAAAAAGAAAAAATTATTGTGCTGATCCGATAGATTATTAAATGTTTGATCCCTACAAAAAATTCATTATTTTATTATGTAAATAATACATTATTTTGATAAATTTTGTTGCATTAAATTTTGCCTAGGAATATATTTATTTTTTATTTTATTTATATTAGATCAATTCAATATTTGTACGATCAAAACTTTAATTCGCTAAAATATGTTTTTTTTTTTTTTTTAATTTAGTAAAAATACGAATTATTTTCTTTTTTACAAAAATTTATTTTGCTAAAATGTTCTATTTTTTAACACAAATTTATTTCGTAAAAATAGAATTGTTTTTTTTTTTTTTTTTGTTAAAATGTAAATACAAATAATATTGGGTATGATTAATTTGTATTGTTCCACCTTATAAAATATTGTTTCCAAAATTTCTTCTACTGGACGCCTTTGGTACTATTCAGAAAGCCAATTATTCACACAGATATAAAGATATGGATATAAAAATGTTGCAGAAGTTGAATGGAGAGAATTGAGTGGGTCAATTCTCTTGGTTCATGTGCTTAACATGTGTGTTCCCCAAGTTGGAGCATAACTGAGAATAGAAATCAGCAGGAACGGCGGCTTCTGCCTTTGTCGCTTCAGTGTCCGTTGTTTCAGCATCATCGCAATTTGGTCCGGTTTGAACGGGGTTGGTGGAACTATTTGGTTGGGACAAAAAACTGTGGCATATATCGTGTAAGCTGTTTCGTATGTGGTTGAATATGGTCACGTCTGGAACGGTGGCTGCCTGGGAGCGTTCGGTATTGGCTGCGAGCTTGGGTGAGGAGCTCTCCTGATCCGTTGAGGGCACCAGATAGAGATTCTCCATGCTCGAGTCGAAGTCGCATTGGGCCATCTGCTGGATCTCGGCATCTTGACTGTGGACCACCTCGTTCCAGGTATCCTGGAAATTATAGACGGCTTGATTGCTGCTGCTTCTGCACGCCTTGCTCAGGCCATCGCCAGCTGCATTGAAGGCATCGAGGGCGGCACGCTGTGCCGTGAGGAACATCATCATTCGGGCATCGAATTTGGCCACAGCCTCGTTCAGAACCGAAGCCTTCGCATCTATTGGGGATGGCGGCATAGAAGTGTCCGAGGATTCAGGAGTCGATTTCCCCGAATCTGTGGCCGAAGATACCACCAACTTTGGTCCATCCGACGAGCTGCTCGGCGAGGAAGTGGAGCTGGTCAGATGCACGTGCGAGATGTCCGACAAGACCTGAACCGAGTCGCTCTCAGGACGCTTACGCTTCATGTACTTGCGCTTAGCAGGCGATGTGCAGATCGGGCGCTTCATTGTCCCATTATTGCGGCGTCGCATCACGTTCGCCTGTTTGCGACTCTTGGTACGGGTCGACTTGCTGGACGTGTCGCTCCATGGAAACTCTGTCAACTCGGAGTCGTCGGTGGAATCCTGCATGAACTCCACCAGCTCCGCCGGGTCCATGTATATGCCCTCGATCGGTAGTGACGGCAGCAGTGGCACCGACAATGGCAACAGCTGCGTCTTACCCGATCCCTTGGCCCGAGTCTGGGAACCCTTCATCTCCGCACACTCCTTGCTGAGCAGCTCGACTATCTTGATGAACCAGGGCAACAGATCCGAGGCTCTGCCATTGCAATTCAACACCATTGGAATGGATATCTTCTGTTTCGGATTGCTCCCCTTTTTCACAGCCTTGCGGATCGCGCTCTTCTTGGGCACCGTATCGCGATTTCTCGCCATTTTCAGCTTATCAATGATATTTCAAATACTTGTATGTATATATGTAAAAAAAGTGTATAAAAAAATAACTGAATACTTTTCAGCTAAGTGTAAACCGGGTTAGGCGTTGTCGTGTTACTTTTGTCATTGCCCAAAATGAAATGAGAATTGAGATCGAGAATCCTTTCAGACAGCAAAGTTTTACAACATTCTCAACTGTTGCTGTGTATTATGCATAGATGTGGTCTATTCTTTCAGAAAGCATACTTTTCTTATATTTAAAACTATGCTGAGTGTTAAGATGTGTATTACTTAATTAGGAAAAACATTTTAATTTGAATTTGAATTTTTTTTATTGTCTGAGAATCAGTGCGGCGTAATCAGATATATTTATATTTTCAATTACAATTATATTTTAGAAATTTCAAGTATCTCATTTACATTTCATGCCTATTTCATAGGAATATCTATTTTATATATTTCGAAAATATATATTTTCTAAATTCTGAAAAATTCAAATGAATTAATTCCAATCGAATATTTCAATTTCCATCGATATCCCTACAAATTTAAATATTATTTGCTATCTAATAAAACATTCAACATTTCACTCGGCGCATCCTAATGCGAAAATGCCCATTAACAAATTGGCTGGTTCTTTGAGGCTGTTATCTGCATATTGAATTAGCTTTGGCAAATTCGCACCGCCTGCACCCCGAAATTGCTTGAAATGTGCGAATGGATCATTTACGGCGAATCTGCGCACGGCTTCGCGCGAATATTGAATTACAAAAGGCAGCGAAAGGATCAAGCAAACTGATTTGCATAAGGCTCAGCTGAGGATAACACAAATGGAACAAAGTCAGTCAACGCATTTGCATACAACTGGGTGCTTATATATATACATATATATAAATATGATTTCTTTAGGGTCTAATCAAACACAACAGGGACAAATACGCAGTGTTAGGCGCAGGAAGACAGGAAGCACACGCTGTTGTTTGATTTATGGTTGGGAAATTAACATAAAATGAAATCAAAACATTATAAATGTTTTCATTTGCACTCGAGGGTTGTCTGCCATCTGAACTTGAATTATATATGCAAATACTGAATGAAACAAAGTCATCTCGATTGCCCACCACCCCACCGCACCTCGACCACCGCCCCAACCCAGCCCGACCTCGACCCCGCCTCGTTTACAATCCGCGAATATCCTTGAAGGACGCACGCGTCGGGAGTCGCGCGCACGCTCAACATGACAACTAATGGGCGTTTTGTTTATGGCCGCAACCTCAAACCCTCATTAGGGTCGCGCTCCTGGGAAACCCTTTCGAGCGACATACGTTTTTTTCATTTTTTCTTTATTCCATTTTACTTTCAATTATTTATAATCAGCTTAGCATAAAAAAAACTATTGAAAAAATGGATTTAAAATAGTTGAGTACTTCTGACTGCTCCTTTAATTGYGCATAAAAAATCATTTAGGGATTACTGGTTTATCAAATATTAAAAAAAAAAAAATGTGTTTAGGTGTTTATATCTATATATAAAGTGGCAGCTCGAGTGGCAGTTGGACGAGTATAACATAAAAGGATATGCTCTTTACGTCAATATAACTAACTTTATTAATAAATATATATGTATTTTTACAATTTTTGCTAATATGCTTATTAAAACTTAAAATTTTGTCTAATAAAAAATTAATAAATATTTTTAAAATTTTGTAT